TATCAGCCCAAATAGTATGGAATTTTGCATATACGACCAAATTATGCTTGCAAATAAGTATGTCAAATTTGATCGAAATCGGTTCAGATATAGCTATAGCTCCCATATATATTGTTCATCCGATTTGCTATTTTTATCCTCCGCAGCGTTAAATTGCACTCTGTAACAACGATATTTGGGGAAATATATCAAACACAGCACAGAAATACCTTTCCCAAAATTTTATCGAAATCGGTTCAAATTTGGTTATAGCTCCTATATATATCTTTGTGCGATTTGCTTTTTATTGTGCACCAAACGTGTGCAAATGGTATCCGGAGATTTTGGTGTCCATTGTATGCTTGAAATGAAGCGAGGAACCTCACTTTGTAACCATTCTGGGATGGCGCGTCCTGTTGGAATGTTCGGCATTTATTCTGATGCCACGGTCGATTTATACGAGAGGAGAGCGACCATCGGCGGCCCACACCATCGCTATGGCCGGCGCTTGAAGTCTGGTTGCCAATCGAAGGTGCACATTTTCAGCTGACCTCTTTGGCAAGTAAACAAGATCATTTTGTTTGTTCACAAACTGCTGGACAACGAATGTTTTCTCATCGGAGAAAACCAAATTCGGGAGTTCACCACTTTCGGCCAAGTGAAGCAACTCTTTAGCTCTCTTGAGTCCATTTTCTTTCTGTTGCGGTGTGTGTTCTTGCACTTTTTGGAATTTCAATGGCTTTACCCCGAGCTCATTTTTTAATATTTGCTGAATGGAGCATTGCGATATGTTCAGCTCACGAGCCATTTTTCGGCCAATGCGACGCGGGTTTCGATCAAGTCGCTTCTTTACTTTTCGAACCATTTCTCTTGATGTTGCTGTTTTCTTCCCTCCACTTCCTTGACGTCGGGCTACGCTACCAGTATCACGGTAACGAGCAATGGTACGAGACACAAAAATTTATTCACATTTAAATTCTGGAGTGCTCTAACTATAGCCACTTGTGGTTTTCCAGCCAAATATAAAGAAATCACACTATCACGTTTAAATTCCATCACGAATAACTTTTTTCTGGAAAATTCTCACGAAAATGCTTTTGTACGCTTGTAAACAGTATAATGAGCTGTCACTGGAATAATTTTAACAACTGTCGTAAGAGTGGCTTATCCTGTATTCGTTACTATATTTGAAGTTCCATAGATTTTCATATGGCCCATATATATTTCAAACTGACCAATACTTTTTTAACTTTTTTATTTTTTCTGTCTGCCGACATTAACCACCAAAATCACAATCCTCGGCTTTGCCTTTTTTGCAGAAATAATTATTATTGCTCAACCTACTGGCAATGCCAAGAATAGTTTCTTGGCATTACCTGGTATTTAGTTTTTGGACTCCTGAGGCTCCAATATTTTTCCTGGACTCGCAAATTGTGCAGAAATAATCCTTATTTCTCACCCAACTGGTAATGCCAAGAATAGTTTGTTGACATTACATGGTAATTAGTTTTGTTGGCTCATGAGATTCCAATTTTATTCTGGACTCCAAAATTTCTAATTCTTCCAGTGTATTTGTAATCAAGTTTCTCCACAATATCTTTATGAGTTATTGATTTCCTCCAATAGAAATTCTCTTATACTCCAGTAGAGGGTTTTCCCCGTCAGTCTCAATTAAAAGTGTAATCTTTTGCGAACCAACAACGATTTTTATTAACTCTAAAGGCCGAAATGTAATCTTGGCAATCTTGTTTTGTTGTTGCTCTCCTTTTGTCGTTTGCTGGCATTGTTGTTGGGTTCGCTCCCCCAAAAATGCTCTACACTCTTCAAAGTGTTTCAAGTGCTAATTTGCTTATCACATTTTTTCGATTAAATTCTATCTAATTGCCAGCGAACAACGAACGCGTGTTTTTGTCGCCAAAAAAAAAAAGAAAAGAATGAAAACAAGAACAATTGAGTAAATTAAAGAAGGAACAACCACAACAAGAAATGCGATCATAAAGCAATAAAAAAATAAACAATAGTAAATGAAGCGAAACGAAAGTTTTGGAGAGCAAAAAAAAAAAAAAAACAAACAGGGAAAATAGTTACACCCCACTAATAATAAATTTATAGTCAGGCTGAATTATGTTTCATGTTGTCGTCATCATCAATTACGTTGTGTCGGATTGCGTAGAACATGGGTTGATAGTAAATTTACAAAATATTGTAAGCACGTGTCTTGCCGATCAATGATCTTTTGCATTGAGGAAGTTCGGACTATTTGGGTGATTCATACGCACATAGATATATATATATTATATGGCAGCAAAGAATCTCTTTTCCAAATAATGGGTTTATTAAGTACATTTTGGCACTAGTAGATACAGCGTAAAATCTTGGCATTTCATGGGAAGTCAGTACCACCGACATAGTCTAAGATGCCTAGAATTAACTCCTTATTTTTAGCTTTCTGGTAAAGCAGAGGGTATCAGTTGACATTACTATTATTGGTGAAAGTGGGACATTAGCTTCCCAAATTGTTGTTGGGTTGGGATTTCTGAGGCCCAGATCCGACAATTTTGCTTGTTGATGTAGCTACGTAGGTGGAAATGGATCTCATCAGTCAAGATAATTTTTTAGAAGAATTCCAGATCATTTTCATGGATTTCAAGGACTTCTGTCCATAGAAGGATGTTCGGTTCGCAGAAGACCGGTTAAGAATCTTCGATCCGTAGACTATATGTTAAAGGTGTTGGGTCCATGTACTACTTCCTCGGTCTATAGAAAATCTGTTAAATGTCTTTAATCTGTAGAACATCATAGAAAACCAGGGTCAGGGTCTTCCATCCATGGAAGAATTGCTCCACAGAAGGTCCATAGAAGATCTGTTAATGGTCTTAAGTGCTGTTAAAGGTCTCCGGCCCACAGATGACCTGTTAAAAGTCTTCGATCCATAGATGACTTGGGAATTCCGAGGGCCCGATCCGACAATTTTGCTTGTTGATGTAGCTACGGAGTTGGAAATGGGTCTCATTAGTCAAAATAATTTTAGAAGAGTTCCGAATCATTTTCACGGATTTCAAAGACTTCTGTCCATAGAAGGATCTTCAGGTCGCAGAAGACCGTTTAAGAGTCTTCGCTCCGTAGACTATCTGTTAAAGGTCTTGCGTCCATGGACCACTTCCGCGGTCTATAGAAAACCTGTTCAAAGTCTTTGATCCATAGAACATCCAAGAAGACCAGGGTCAGGATCTTCCATTCATGGATGAATTGTTAAAAGTCTACGGTCCATAGAAAACCTGTTAATGATTTTCGGTCCATAGAAGATCTGTTAAAGGCCTTAAGTCCTATTATAGGTCTCCTGCCCATGACCTGTTAAATGTCTTCGATCAATAGATGAAGGTCTTCGGACCATAGAATACCTTTTAAAGGTCTTCATTCCATAGAAAACATATACATATAATACCTCTAGAAGGTCTTCTACCCATTGAAGGTCTTTTGAAGGTTTTGAATACCTATTGAAAGTCTTCGGACGATATAAAACTTGTTAAAAGTCTCCATTCCATAGAAGACCTTTTGGAGGTCTTCGATGCTTAGAAAACCTGATTAAGGACTTTTATCCTTAGAAGACCTCTTGAAGATCTTCTATCCTTAGAAGTTCTTTTGGAGGTCTTCTATCCACAGAAAACCTGAAGGTGGTATTTTGCCCATAAAAGGCCTGTTGATGGACTCCAGCTCATAGTCTTCGATTCATTGAAGACCTTTTGATGGTTTTCAGTCTGTAGAAGACCTGTTAAAGGACTTATATTTATAGAAGACCTGTTAAAGGACTTATATTTATAGAAGACCTCCTGAAGGTCTTCTATCCATAGAATACCTGTTGAAGGTATAGAAGGTCTTCCGTCCATAGAAAACCTATTAAGTGTCTTCTGTCCATAGAAGGCCTGTTAAGGGGCTTATATCCGTAGAAGACATCTTGGAGGGACCTAAGAAGATCTTTTGAAGGTATTCTATCCACGACGTCCTGTAAAGGTTTTCGATTTATGGAACGTCTTCTGTCATTACTCGGTTGAATCTCTTCTGTCTTCAGAAGACCTGTTAAACATCGTTGCTCCATAGAAGATCTGCGAAAAATCTTTGATTCATAGAATACGTGTTTGAGGTCTTCACATAAGACCTGTTGAAGCTGTTCGGTTCATAGAAGATCTGTCTGTCCACAGATGACCTGGTAAAGGCCTTCGATCCATAGAAGACCATCCCAAAGTATTTGGTCTATGGAAACCCTGTTCAAAGTATTTGGTCTATAGAAGACCTGTTAACTATCTTCGGCCATTGGATACTTTTCAAGGGCCTAATTTCCATAGAAAATCTTTTACAGGTCTTCTGTCCACAGAATACTTGTCTCAGGACCATAGAAACCCTGTGAAGGTGTTGAAGCTCTTCAATATTCTCTTTCTAGAACCAAAGAATTGTCTTTCTCTGGAAATTCATAAAAAATATTTATATTTCTTATTAAGATTGTCAATTTTTTCCGCTACTTCCACCGCCTTCCGTTCATAGCACTTCCCCCGCCGAGTAAGTGTGAATGTGTCATTATTATATCTTAGTGACTAGATAAATTGATAATGTAATCAACCTGCAAAGTGTGATCGATAATGAGTAAATACACAATAAGATCATTCTTTTATTTGCTCCCTCAATCTTTCGAGGCGATCGATAACATTTCGAATGAACTTTACTGAGTGTGACAGTGGGGTTAACCCCCACCGATGTTGGTGGCGGCAATAGAGGGGTGTGTGGTATATGGGGTTGGTTGTTAGACGAAAGACTATCATCTGAGTGGTTGGCACAAAAATAATAGAATACAAATAGATGATGAGACAGTGGTAATTTTTCCCCCGTTTGGCTAGCACACATATAGAGAGCGAGAGGGAACTGATTGCCATACCGTCATGAGGGGAGACCAAAGAGTTTTCAGTTGGCTCGTTGTTGTCGTAGACGTCGCGCGTTGACGTATCACAAAAATTCGTTATAAACATTTTTAACATCGTCAGCTTTAGTTATCGCTCGAACAGCGAACGTTGTAGAATTGAATTTTTTAAAACGCTGCTTGTACCGGTGCATTTTTTGAATACAAAAATTAATTTGATATTAAATCTTAACGGTTTGAAAATTTTAAAATACGGCAAAAATATAAATTTTGTGAAATAAAAAAGGAGTGAATTTTTAAAACTAAAACAAATTTATGTTGGAAAAGTTTTGGTTTTTTTGGAATTTGAGAAGAAAAAAAATGTTTTGAAAATAAATATAAATCTTGATAAATTATAATACCCCGCCGCCCATTGAATGTCGTTGTTGTTGTCATCGTTGATGTACAGATGCTCTAAATTGCAGCACATGATAAGTGCAAACAAACCTGTAAAAAAAGTTATTTTCTTGTTGGTGTTGTTATTGTTTTATTTAACTGTCGCCTGTTAACCAAAGTACGCAGTTAATTGCGTCAAAAGTACCCGGACAAAGCGAGAGCGCGAAAAAATACTTAAAAAAATAATAACTAAAATAAATAACAAAAGATTAAGGTAATAATAATGTGATGCAAAAAAGCAAAACAGGCCATTAGGGAAAAGTTTTAGTACAATTACTTATTTTGTTCTTCTTGTTGTTGTTGTTGAATATATAAAAATAAATTATATTTTCTTGATGTTTTGTCCTGCCTTTTTTTACTTAAGGTGATTTATTTTTATTTTATTTGTGATTAATAGTTTTCTGTTTTTGTGTTCTGTTTTTTCTTACAGCATTTGAAATTCTGTTACCAAACCAAGAAATTTGGTTTTTTATCCGACAGTAGTGCAGTGCGGCGCAGTCACACCGAAGATAATTTGTATCTTTTGTTTCTCCTTTGAGAAAAGAAAACTAAAAACAAACACACACACACACAGTAACTCTGACAAAATGTTGAAAAATAAAACAAATGAAGAAAAAGTCGACACATTACTGGCCAAAAGTTTGGTGCCCATCATCGATTTGGCTCATTGTGGTAAGTTGTTATAAATTAGGAAGATGATTTAAAAAATTGTATTTTAAAAATGATTTCAGAGCAAAGGGGGAATGGAAATTCATTAGTAATGAAAAACCAAATCTAAGTCGATTTTGCTGATAAACCAGCAAGCAAACGATGGTTTATATTTAGGTTAAATCCCAAAATTTTGGTAACTCATGTTATCCCATTTTGGTGTGAAGATAGCAAAGAAAAATATTCCTGCTGAGTTTATATTTTGAGTACCAGATATACAACAAGTAAGCACATATATAGTCGTGCGGGGCCGACCATGTGATACCCTACAACACTATAATATGTTAGAAGCCCACTTATGTGTATTTTGGAAGATTTCGCTTTTAAAATTATGTCTTAGAGCACTACCCAAATATTACCCTTAGCTTTTTGATCTGGGGCATTTTCACGCATTCCGTTGTGTTGTTAGTTGTCGTGGTCCACTTTACAGCTAAATATAATCCGATGGTCGTCCAAAATGCTAGAAATTTTCCCTGTCCTTAACTCTCTTCTCAGGCGTGTCGATTGGCTTCAATTTTGTGATCAGGAAAATTTTCTATATATTTTTCATCTCCAAAAGGCTTCTATTCTGGCTCTAGCCCACCTCCATTCGAAATTTCGTGAATATCGGGCCGTAATTGTGACCTGTAGAGTGATTACAAATTAACATGGACATGCGGACAGACGGACGGACATATATAGCTATAACGACTCAGGTCGGCGAGATAGGAAGATCCATATATACCTTTCTATGAGGGAAACCAATATATCGGGGTGTTTCATAATTTTTGGCTCAATCAAACTTATAATACCCCCAACACATAATGTTATAGAGTATAATTAATTGGGTTGAAAATTTAATTTTTATATTCAATATTTTGCAGATTAAGTATCCATTTTGGTGTGAAGATAATTGAGAAAAATATAAACTCAGCCGGAATATTTCTCTTATTTTAATATCTTCACACCAAATCTTGGCAACAATGTCAAGAAAATGTTACAGAATTTTACACTGCATGATTACACTGTGCGACAAAATCCAATTTTTTCAAGGATTACGGGAAAATCCTGTAATTTATTAAATTAGAGCTAACAAGTAAAACAGAAGCAAGTTCGGCCGGGCCGAGCTTTGAATACCCTCCACCATTTGGGACGAATTTAGAAATTTTCAAAAAAAAAAAAAACAAATAAATAAAATCCGTCAAAAATTATGTTAAAATATAAATATAGCCATTATATTTGGGTCTATACGAAGAAGTGGACCTGCATAGGCCGTTTAAATATTCAAATACGAAACTTGAAAAAATCCGGCGAATGACGTTGCTAAACTAATTAAAATACCGCATATAGGGAGGCACTTTTATATGAGAGCTATACCAAGACCTGCATAGACTGTAGTACATATTAAAAAATTCTAATACGAAATATATGAGACAATTCTGAAATGGTTCGAAAAGTAAAGAAGCGACTTTATTAAAACCCGCGTCATATGGCCGAAAAATGGCTCGTGAGCTGAACATATCGCAATATTTCCTTTGGCAAATATTGAAAAATGAGGTCGGGGCAAAGCCACTGAATTTCCGAAAAGTGCGAAAACTTACACCGCAACAGACAGAAAATAGACTCAAACGAGCTAAACAGCTGCTTTGCTTGGCCGAAAGTGGCGAACTGCCGAATTTGGTTTTCTCCGATGAGAAAACATTCGTTGTCCAGCAGTTTTTAAACAAACAAAATGATCGTGTTTACTTGCCAAAGAGGTCAGCTGAAAATGTGCTCCTTCGGTTGGCCACGGTTGATGTGGGCCGCCTTTACAGCCGATGGTCGTGGCATCAGAATAAATACCGAATGTTATCGTGAAAATATTCTGGAGGGTGTATTAAAGCCTTGGGCACGCAAATATATCGTTCTATCAGCAGAAATGGTTCGAAGAGTAAAGAAACGACATGATCGAAACCCAAATGATCGCAGTGGCCAAAAAATGGCTCGTGAGCTGAACATATCGCAATATTCCATTCGGCAAATATTGAATAATGAGCTCGGGATAAAACCATTGAAATTCTGAGAAGTGCATGAACTTACACCGCAACAGAAAGAAAATAGACTCAAAAGAGCTACAGAGTTGCTTCCCTTGGCCGCAAGTGGTGAACTTGGTTTTCTCCGATGAGAAAACATTCGTTGTCCAGCAGTTTGTAAACAAACAAAATGATCTTGTTTACTTGCCAAAGAGGTCAGCTGAAAATGTGCACCATCGGTTGGCCACGGTTGACGTGGGCCGCCATAACAGCCGATGGTTGTGGCATCTGAATAAATGCCGAATGTTATCGTGAAAATATTCTGGAGGGTGTATTAAAGCCTTGGCACGCAAATATATCGGTCTACGTTTCTGTATAGCCCCCATATAACGGTACGTCCCGATATTCGGAATTTTGATGATTTTTGCCACATTTTTCCACGGATTTATCCAAAAATGTATGTTTGTATGTAATAATGGGTTCTATTTCCGGTGGCGAAACATTGTATGTATAGGTCCACGTTTTTGTATAGCCCTCATATAACGGTACCTCCCGATATTCGGAATTTTGATGATTTTTGCCACATTTTCCACGGATTTTAATATAAATTGGTATTTGTAGTTCAAAAATGGGTTCTAGTTCCGGTGGCAGAACATTGAATATTTAGGTTTCCATTTTCCTATAGCGCACATATACCTATACCCACCGATATTCGATATTATCCAAACGGTCTTACTCGTATTTGTAGTTTCATGTGGAACACATTTGAATTCAGATACTTTTATATAAAAATGTTTTTTTTTTACCCAACGGTGGAGGATATTAAAAATTCGCCCCGGCCGAGCTTAAGGTTGTTTTTACCTGTTTTACATCTACTTTCATAATCTGCTGCATTTTTCCTGGATTATTTCCTGTGTATTCAGAAGATTATCTTTCTCGAAGCAATATGTATTTATAAATAAATAAATAAATATTTTTTCAAATATTGTAGATAAAAGTATTCTATAAATTTCCCCTGACATTAAGGTAGAACTATTTGTATAATTTTGTTTTTGTTTTTTGTAATACTCAATGGAGGTATTTTCCCTACCTACAATTCCACTTCTTGAATTTTCTTATCTTGATGGTTTCATTCCAAGGCAATTTTCTTTCTTTCTTTGTGATATCAAACCCAAACCAAAGATTTAATTTTTTTTATGAAAAATATTTAAATAGAAACAATGAGACAGCAGTACTTGACATAACGTAAACTCTGCGTAAGCTTCTAATTTACGATATTTGATAGCAAAGGTGGTAAAGTCTAGAAACGATAAAACAAAACAAAAAAATATATACATATCAACAATAGAATAATGCATTGCAAATCATCGAAAAACCAAATTAGAAAAGTAATCAAAAAAATATAATATTTGTTAAATTTTCAAGGTCCCCTTGACATCGTGGAGAACAAACATCTTCACTCACCCGGAGAAGTTCAACGACTTACGCTCGTTGAAGAACAGTCAAATGAAAGAAAAAAATATTAAATTATAACGGCGCCATAGACTTGACAATTAATTTTCGAGCCAAGTCGAAGGTTTCGTTTAACGAAACTAATAGTATTTAAATAAGCAATTTTTGTTTATTAAGTTTTCGGTTCGATACAAGTTCAGTACCAATTTATAGTGATCAGATACTTTATTCTTTCATCTGACTCAAATCAACTAGATTGCAAAATAGATGCCTAGTAAGAATGAAAAAAAAAAAAACGAAAAAACAGCTGGTTGTTGTTTGCTAGCCATTAATTAAAACAAATATACAAAAAAAAAATAAAATAAAATAAAATGATATGGAAAACAAGTTTTTTTTTTTTTAATTCTAGTAAGGAACACCTTTTTAAGAATTTTCGTTGTTGCTGTTTTTAAACAATGACAAAAGATTCTAACGATTATGCCCAGGTGAAGTACACCTATGAGTCGGGTACTCCTCTTAATATTGATGTGTGTAGCGTGGTGTTTAATTATATTCATTAAAAATAATTAGTTGCAATCGCAAATGAAAAAAAAAATAAAACAAAAAACCGGCATTTTCAATTATTTAATGACAACTATTTAGAGGGTGATTCACTAATTGTCAAGACCCATTACCCTTTAAAAAAATGTACACACACACATTCAAAACTCTGTATAAACATTCTTAGTTATCTCTTTTTTGGAATTTGTTATTGCAATGACGGGCAGACTTCTTCAAAATTTAACGTCAACGGAATTCTTAAAATTTTAGAAACACCCAGAAGTGACTGCTGATAAGAACGGTAAAATTTGGGAAGGAAGACATTAAGCCCCCCAAAGTCTAAAGGGATTTAATATCAACAAATTAGTGATATGTAGTCGGAAATTGAAAACGTCATTATAGAGAAGCTAATAACAGTAAACAAATTTCACATTGGAGAGAATTTGGAGGAATCAAAAAACAGAAATTATTGGAAACAATTAAAAAAATTCATACAGGGTGAGATGAAAAAAACTGCAACCAACTTCACAGATCTGTCATTTTGAAGCCACTCATCCGACAGCTGTTAAAACTATTCCAGTGACAGCTCACTATATTGCTTACAAGCGTACAAAAGCATTTTGGTGAGAATTTCCACAAAACAAGATTTTAGTGATGTAATTCAAGCGGGATAGTGTGATTTCTTTATATTTGGCTGGAAAACCATCGCTCGATACCGTGATACTGCTGCCGTGGCCCTACGTCAAGGAAGTGGACGGAAGAAAACAGCAACGTCTCAGCGTCTCAGTGGCCGAAAAATGGCTCGTGAGCTGAATATATCTCAATATTCCATTCGCCAAATATTGAAAAATGAGCTCGGGGTAAAGTCATTGAAATTCCAAAAAGTGCAAGAAATTACACCGCAACAGAAAGAAAATAGACTCAAGAGAGCTATTTGGTTTTCTTCCATGAGAAAACATTCGTTGTCCAGCAGTTTGTAAA